TGTGTGTGTGTGTGTGTGTGTGTGTGAGAGAGAGCGAGAGAGTGTGTGTGTGTGAGTGAGTGAGAGAGACCTCAATGGTCCTGTAGAAGGGATCCAGCATGAGTTTGGACAGAGCCACTATCTGAGGCGTGCGGTCCCAGCCGTCGGAGCAGTGCACCAGCACAGGCCTGCGGTCCCGATGCACCGCGTTCACCACCAGAAGAGACGCCTTCAGCAGCAGAGACAGATGCTGCAGCCATTTAGTGCCCTCCAACGCCGACAGCCAGCTGACCAGAGAACAGAAGGAGAGAGAGATGTATTTATATTCAATATTTCATTATGAATGCTCCTTTTTGCCTAATAATTTAAAACCTTGCCGTACGCCACCACTAACTTTAAGGGGTTAAAGCAAAGATTGAACCTTTTAAGAGCACAATTCATAGAAATGGGATGCACTTTCTCTTTAACAGTGCATGTAAATGAGCGTCTGTATGCATATTCATTAACTGAAAAAGTTATGCAACCTTAACCTTTACTAATGTGACAGAAATAATTTATTATTGATTGCAGTTTTTTGCGTGTATATATATATATACACACACCCACACTCACAAAAAGATGCAATAATAATAATAATATACTAATAAATATACTAATGTCTGACATTAAGCTATAAAACAGTATAGCTTAATAATATAAGACATTTATTAGTGTATTTATTATAATTATTTATTATATTTAATATAAATATAAAAATATAAATAAAAAATTCTCTCTCTCTCTATATATATATATATATATATACAAATAATTTATATTTTATGTATCTATAAATACCTGAAATTATATTATTCAGTTTTATATAAAATATTTACAATTAAAAATGCATAAAATATTTTTTATATGACAGTATTAATAATATCATATCAATTTAAATATAAATGATTTATATACACATAATACATTAATTATATAAGATGTTATATATAAAATTGTATTTATATGACACAGTATAGCTTCACAATATCAGACATTAATTAGTTATCAGCATAACAATATTTATTGGTTTACTGATTTACCAGAATTTCAAATTCGGTGCATTACTAAATAAAACCAAAACTGTCTCTGTCACCAAACCTGCATTCAGTAAATAACTAGCAGCTTTAACCAGTCTGCTGCTGTGGTTTCCAGGTCGACTCACTTGACCGGATCGGGGACTTGAGCACAGAGCGTCCGCAAACACTGGAAGCTCTTCCGGATGGAGTGGATGTTGGCCATTCCCATGAACATCACCTCACAGTTGGGGTAATACTCTGCCAGAAACACAGAGGGCGTTTCATGGATGAAATGTTTTATTCTACTAGCATTTAATTGAAAACATAAGCTCTGCAGCATTACCTGGACACTCACAGCCGCCTCCTTTCGCCCGATTGGCTACTGCAGCAGCGTACGAGCGCGCGTCCATTATTAACAGCTTCTGAGGGGGCGTGGTCTTTGGCTCCGCCTCTGCGCTCCCATTGGCCATGTGAGGATCAGAGTCACTGAGCGCACCGCTGCTGTGATGGTAAAGGCAGGAGCCGTTAGCCTGCGCTGTGTTTGCGGCCGGATCCGTGACGCAGGCTTTAGCGATGGCTTGTATTAAATGCTCATCGTCAGCATTACGCCAACCCCACCAGCTGACCTCTGGCTGCCCGCATCGACCAATCACAGCGCCCGAACTCTGGTGTCTGGGTCAAAGGTTAAGATAAAGGTAAGTGACACATTTTCACTGACAGATAACGTTGGACAGACGTTAAAATAAAAAAACTTCCAGGTTCAATACTAGTTAAGTCTACATCAGAAATTGTTTTTTTTTTTAAAGCAAAATTATGGTTGCAGTGATGCACAATGGAAGTCTAAAAGTAGCGTCCTAAGATTTCTGCGATTGTTGCATATTAATTTGATGACATTTTAAAAGATTAATTCAATTGACTTTTATGTTTTTAAATTGTTTAATGCCTTCATTTGATTGCCAAAATTACAATTTGTATTAAAGCATAAATGCAAAACAATTAAAACAGAAAACGCAAAAATGTTAATAAATTATTAAATTGTTAAACTTTTATGAATTCAATTTATTAGACATGATTTTTGATTATTAGAATTGAATTAAACCATTAAAACAGAATCCAGAAAGATCAAAACGGAAAACACATAATTTGGGGAATATAAAAAATTCGGAAAAAATAAAATAGATATCATTAATTCAGTTAACATGCTTTTTTATTACTAAATTTAATTTAACCAACAAAATGGGGGGTTTGGGATGAGGAGGAAATCCAGAAAAATTAAAACAGAAAAATTTTGGATTTTGGAAAAAAATTAAATAGATCTCATAGGAGCCTAAAAATGTTAAACTTTCAGTAAACTGTTGTTAAATTGTAGAAGTTTCAATTAATTAGTTAATTCAGTTAACATGCTTTTTTATTACTGAATTTAATTTAACAAAAAAAATAACAAAATCTTGAAAAATTAAAATGGGAAAAAAAGGGAAATCCATAAAAATTTAAACAAAAAAAAAACTGAATTTTATTATAGGATATTATAGGGCCCTGAAAACGTAATTTTTGTTAAACTTTTAATAATTTGTTGTTAAATTGTAGCAGTTTCATGGTTTCAATCAATTAGTTTATTCAATTAACGTGCTTTTTTTAGGAGTACATTTTAATTTTACCAATAAAACTGAATCTAGAAAAATTAAAATGGAAAACAAAAATCCAGAAAAATTAAAACATAATTTGGCAAAAAATAAAATGAATTTCATAGGGCCCTATAAGTTTAAAAGCAGCAATGCGAAGCTCATATTTTTATTAAAGCACTTAATTATTCGGTACAAAAAAAGTGTGTTATCTGAGCTGTAAAGTGTTTAAATCAGCTAAACGATATTTGGTTATGCATTACTGACATAATTCCTGAGTAAGTTTACTCAATGTAAACAGTGCTTTATGGGTAGTTATGCAATTCCTTTCTAGTGTCCTTGAGCATGTAATTAATGTGTTTACTGACTTCACATGATCATGACAGGACTCGTTTTTAGATGCCACAAACATTACGCTGACTTTTTCTGCAGAAGTCAACACTGTATCAAAGTGCAAACGGAGAAGCACCTGTAAACGACAGCCGGGATCCTCTTCCACGATCTAAACGCTGCCACGTTCTCCAGCTCCTGGTCGCTGACCGCAGCAGGCACCATTATTTGCTCTGGGTAACTGGCACAGAGCCTGCGGGATCAGAAGCACACACACACACACACACACACGTGTCATGATGAAGCTCCTCTGGCTGCTGGTGTGTTGCTGTGTTTCTGCTGTTTCACCTGTAGTTGCTGTTGATGTTGGAGATTCTCCAGGCACTGTGGCTGTCGAAGCCCATCCTCTCCAGCTCTCGCTTGAACCTCCGCTGGTGTCCTCCTGCAAACACACACCAAAGCTGTAAAATCATGCGAATATTGACACTAGATTTACAGATCGTTCGTTTGTGTGGATCTTGCATCAAGCCAATCAGTGCATCATTACACGCTGCTTCATAAATGCCTGCATTGCAAAAGACTGTTTTGATAATCAGAATTACAGTGCATTTATCCTTATTTTCAATGCACTACACAATATTTAATGCTGAATACAACCCATCTGATAATAGATGTTATTGTAATGCAAAAATGCAATTGTAATGCATTAAATGTAAATGTAATTGTAATGCAAAAATGCAATTGTAATGCATTAATTGTAAATGTAATTGTAATGCAAAAATGCAATTGTAATGCATTAATTGTAAATGTAATTGTAATGCAAAAATGCAATTGTAATGCATTAATTGTAAATGTAATGCAATTGTAATGCATTAATTGTAAATGTAATTGTAATGCAAAAATGCAATTGTAATGCATTAAATGTAAATGTAATGCAAAAATGCATGGAAAGTGTTATTTAGGTATTATTTATATAATATATACAGCATACTATATACTAGTATATATTATTACTAAGTAATAGTTTTCATTAATATTTGAAATCAGCTTTAATTTTTATATTTTCAGTTTTTATTTTGATTTAAAACTTAACAAATTTTAGTTCTTTTAGTACATCAGTGAAAATGAGAAATGCTTTCTTTGCAACAAGCTGAAATGAAATAAGTTTTAACAATAATAACAACTATATATAGTAGACTAAATATAGTATAATAAATTTTATTATATATTAATATATTATTCGAATATTTTTATTATATTATTACATATTTATTATTATATAATAAATATAATATTTGTATTAATTTAAGATTTACATTTATTTCAGTAAATGTTTCTTTTATTTAAAGTAATTTTTTATATTTTTAACTTTCAGTTTTAGTTTATTTATTTTTATTTTATTTTATTCTATTGTATTTCTAATTCTATTTTGATTTAGTTTTATTTTATTTATTTTTATTTTTAAACTTATTTCAGTTGCCAAGACAACATTTCTATTTTATTTTCGCTTTATTTCAATTAACAAAAATATTTTTAATAGTTTTAGTTTTAGCTAACAATAATAAGCTCCATTATCACATGACTTCAGAAGACATGAAATATAGCACACGAGTCATACGGACTACTGTTGCAATACTTGTATAAATTTTAATAAAGTTCTATGGTGCTTTTTGTCATTTTTGGAGCTCTAAAGCATCAGTCCTCATTCACTTTCACTGTATAAGACAGGACAGCATGGATATGTTTTAAAACATCTCCTTTTCTGTTCCACAGCAGAGAGAAAGTCAGGGTTTGATACAACGTGAGGGTGAGTAAATAATGATATCATTTACATTTCTGAAAGATCAGTAAATCGGTTTAAGGACCAGAACCTGTTAAACACAAGCGTCCAGTACCTGCACGGCAGATCCCATCATGCACCTCTCTGTCCTCGGCGGAGACGCTGGCGCTACACGAGAGGAAGGCGAAGGCGAAGAGCTCCTCCAGCCGCGCCGGCGGTCGAACGACTGCGCTGATCCTCCGCAGCCAATCCTGACACTGCTCCGCCGACAGGAAGTTACACCTGAGCACAGATCAGACGAGCCCTGCAGGTTCCTGATGATTCACTTTCCTCATGAACATGCTGTTATGCTCGATTCAATAATGCACATTATTATGAAAGCCTGTTTCCGCCACAGAACAAAAAATTAAAAAGGTAATAGTCACTTTTTGTCTCACAATTCAGACTTTCTCGCAATTCTGCTAAACGAGAAAACTCGAGAAGAAAAGTCCAAAACTCCCAATTACGTGAAAAGGGTATTATTCTGTGGCAGAAAAAAAATTGTTAGATTTAAACTCAGAATTCAGAGAAAAAAAGTCAGAATTTTGAGATTCCTAAGAAACAAAAAAAAAAAACTGAATTGTCAGAAAAGTCAGAATTCTGAGACGATAAGTCAGACTTGTGAGATATAAACTAGTAATTGTGAGAAAGATCGCAATTAACTTAAAATTAAATTAAAAAAATGTTTAAATTAAAAACAATTAACTTTTTTTTTTCCATGCTCGGGGAAAAAAATTTATTGCAACATGTAAAATGTCAGAATTTTGAGAGATAAACAATTGCAGATACCTTTTTAATTTTTTTTGAGTTTATATCCCACAATTTTCTCAGAATTGCAAAAATAAAAGAATTATGAGACATAAACTCAGAATTGCAAAATATAAACTCACAATTTTGAGATGAAAAGTCACAATTACCTTTTTTATTTTTATTCCGTGGCGAAACAGAGTTGTGAGATGCAAAGTCAAATCGGAGAAAAAAATGTCAGGATTGCAAGATATAAACTCAGAATTGCGAGAGAGAAAAAAGAAACTCCATTGCGAGATGAAAACTCAGAATTAAACTTGCAATACTGAGAGGAAAAGAACTGAGATATAAACTCAGAATTGCAAAAAAAAAAACAGAATTGTGAGATCTTGTAAGAATTACAAGAAATAAACGCAGATTTGAAAGATAAAAAGTCGGAATTCTGAGTTTATATCTTGCAATTCTGACTTTTTTTTCTCTGAATTGCGAAATAAAGTGCAAACTAGTGTCGTCACAGTACCCAAATTTCAGTATTCGGTACCAATACCAGAGAAAATCCACGGTTCTCGGTACCAAAGCAAAACACAAAAACATGCGAATTAAAAAATTTGACTAGACTTTCATTTAATCCAAACTGTGTACATATTTAATGTTAAAGGGCTTTTGAAAACCTGGAGTTATTCAGCCAAGAATAACTACTAACTAAGTTAGCTATAAAAAATAAAATAAATAAATAAATAAAAAAGCCCAGAACTGCTTTTCTGACTGA